GAAATGTGTTGATTATAAATCACAATGACTGACTTGAGTGGTTCGTGCATTATATAGTTGAGGCTTTCAGTCAGATTATCTATCAGCGGGCATGTTCGGTGAGTTGGGATTTGCTCTGACCAAATTCTACGACCATCTAAACAACACAAATGTATGTAAATGTATATGTGGTATTACAATGGTGTTCAGCTGGATACAGGGAAGCTGCATACGACCATCAGCGTCGGTAGAATCCGAACCTCGGACTTTGAACCCCCGGCAGTTAATGGTTGTGTGTGTGTGTGTGTACACTCCATGGATAGCACATTTAATATGTTCTCATGTACCACCTTGTCTGTTGCATGTTTTTCGAATATTCTTCAAACTAAAAAGAATGGAATACATTATACTATGATTATCGTACCGCGGAGAATCTGCGGAATCGTCAACAGAGCACACATGTCCACCACAAGATAGTAATAGTTAGAATCCGGACATGCAGAATTGTCAGTAAGCCTGGTTCCAGTACTACACAATATAGCACCTATTGAAGGTTGACTATCATCACTTAAACAGAAACCGACGTCTCAGTTCACCTCTTCGGATTTTTCTCCCACGCTGAGATTGCCTGATCATTCAATCGTCTACCATTCAAATGATAATTCGTCAAAATCCCTAAAATAATTTTCTCTTTCTCTTTACTCACAACATATCACCGTATGTGCAGAGGGAGAATACGAAGTGACTAAAGGCGGGAAACCGTTGTGTATTATGAATTCCGGACGATGCTTTGGTGAACTGGCCCTGTTGTACAATTGCAAACGAACTGCCTCAGTTCGAGGTGAGTGTCTCTTTTCGTCTCTCCATCCATCCATCCGTTCGTTCGGGTGTCCATGACTGCTTGGCCGTCCGACTTGTTAGCTATTCGTCTTCACTTTTTTCTAAATTATGTGCGTGCAATCATGCTCGCAAATTGTGTCCGTAGCCCATCGTGTAATTCGTGTAATTATGCGCGAGGACGTACGTGTGTGTGTGTGTGTGTGTGCCTTATTCGTCAGTGGTGACGGATAATCAGTTTTGATTGTCTTCACCCGTTGGAATTCCTGGACTCTGTCTCTCCTGCTCGGTTCACATGGTAATATACTCGGTGCAGAGAACTTCGTTGTGTTAAATAGAACAGAACGGATCTGGACAAAACAAGACAGGACGACGACGAATAGGTGATTGATCGAACCTCCTCGATATCAGGTCTGTAGCATGTGTTTGCCTAAACCGTCACTCCACCAAATATTTCGGATTATGAACTCCATTGTTCACTCGCTCACCTTCTAAATCAAATCGTAGTACCTGGGGCAATGCATGCCTGTGTGATTCAGATAAACGTGCTCCTGCGAACATTTGTATGGTAATTGTAGACATCGAATACGTACAATACAGTCTATTTAACTGGATTTACGTTACTTTAGCTATACTATGTAGTATTGTGTTGCAGTTGTACTTGTGTTGCATGAGGTCGAGCTACTCGCAGTCTTCCGCGTTACTGGCCGAATTACATTGACTCAATGCTTTCTGTAAGCTTTTAGTCTGGACACAGTGTTCTTATATTCGCTTCGGGTAGTTTCTCCCGTCTGCATTTCGTTTGTTAATCTTCTCACACTATCGCCAAAATTTGCACTTTAGTTTGGTTTCCCATATCGAATTCCAGGGTGAAAACTGACGTCAGCGAATACACATTCACCCTTGTTGTTGTGCTCAACAGAATTTAGGAATTATTGATGGTTATCGTTGGCTCCTTATTTTTCTCGTTGTCATTCTCGGTTTTTCCTGGCATCGTCGTATTGTTTTCAATTCACCAATTCGGATAGAGATGCATTTTAAATATCTCATTGTACTAACTAGATATCGCTGTTCGATAAGAAGGAACTTCGTATGTGAATAAACAAATGGTTGAGTTCGCAGATTTAACGAAACTCATTGCACAATGCAGTCCCATGTATTGCTTAATATCCTCTTCGATAATGGATCTTCTTCCGGTGAAAATGGATTCAAGTTCATTGGTTCAAGTCTGATGGTAATGAACAGGATCTAATTCCCAGTCATACGTCATCAGCATCATTCCCGATTCCAATAGCAATTGCAACTCAAGTTGGACAATTGCTTCCTGCCTCCACCCTCGAACTCTACCAGTTTTTATCAGATGCCTCGTATGATGCTTCAGATTTATCATTTGTCATCCACACATTCCTTCATCTGGTGATAAACGGAAATAAGAGTATACAATGGACAGACTGACCCTAGAATAGGAGGTACCCGTGGATCTTATTGTATGCGTGTATTTAGGTGTCTGAATCGGAATCTCATAGCAATTGGATTCATTCCTTTCACTATTCATCACATGAGGATAAGCAGTAGGGAAAATATACGAAACGATACAACAGTCTGAAAAACCATTCGTGTAATGTTTTATTTTCAGACTTGCTATCCTGCTAACTTCTGGTGTCCGCCATTTTTCTGATTAAACTAACAACGCTTCTGTTCTCGACTGTACTTTGTGGCCCGGAATAAACCTATTCCACATCATAAACACGTGGTTGTTCTCGAAGTTGGTTTTTGTTGCTTGTCTCTACAGGGAAACAATATTCCGTCCAGGTGTGCAGTATTGAGATGAATTTTATCTGACAATATGTTTCTTATCATCCATTGAAATGCATTTACGCGGTACCAGCAAACATCTTATTAATTGACCATTGAAACTGATCGATATTGATTGTCCATACCGATATCCAATGATGATAATTCGTTGATAATGCGCGCAGTAGTGACAACAATGTTTGCATTCGGTTTGATCTTGTTGCCCTGAAACGGGAAATGCTGTTCGGGAGTGGTATGCAAATTTTGACCTGCCTTTCATTCTGTCTTTTCAGCTCTCATTCAGTCACGTGTTTGGGCTCTAGATCGGGGCTGTTTCCAAGCCATCATGATGAAAACCGGGTTGAAGCGGCTGGAAGAACGGAAAGCATTTTTGCGCAGGTGAGCCTATTTTGGTTTTCGGAAAACGAATCTGTGCCTTGTGCGCATAAATTGCGACACGTTTGACCTACCTGTCTTTTTCTCTCACCCAGTAATCCTAAAAAGAGTGTATTTCACCTGCGGTAACCACAACCATTCGATCAGCACTTGAGCACGTCCAAACTGAATGATAAGCACACACACACACACAGAAGTCTGTCTATTATTACCGTTCCACTTTATGCTTTGAATGAACATGTCTTGTTCCAGTCAGATTTTCGTGCTCGTCCTTTAGTCATATTTTTCGAACTATTTCCGCACGCAGCCGGTCCGTTAGAAACGTACAAAGCACTTGCATCGTCGCTTCGTCCGGCCATCCCCGGTCTACTCTAATGATCAGACTGACCCCGAGACGTATCAGCATGCTTCAACCCTTGCAAGCACCTGGTTGACAGAAGAGTATTATATCGATTGTTTCAATTTTTCAAGCTCAACTGAGGCGTTGGCCCTCATTCCGGCTTTGTCACTTTCACTTTCTGATCACTTTGCAACTACACTCCCCTATTGATAGCTTGTATCTGTCCGTTTTGAACTGCATTCTAGTAACAACCATCCTCAAATGAGTTCGCTCGCTATAGTTCCCGTCCCCACTCTTGGTTGGTTAATTTATTTCTTTGCA